AATTTGATAAACGAATTTTCCTCGTTAAATAACGGAAGATCAACGCGACGAGACGAGCAACGAAAGGATAAACCATTAACGAGGGCTTGGCAAGGCAAGGGGTAACGAGGAAAAACATTTTTTTAAGGTTACTCGGAAAAGCGTCCGATGGGAGAGGTTGTCCCACTTGTAGGTTCCGGCTAGACGGGAGAGAGAGACGGGAAGGTGGGACGGGAGGGAGGGACAGGAAGGACTGACGGGAAGGGAGAGACGGGAAGGTGGGACGGGAGGGAGTGACAGGAAGGACTGACGGGAAGGGAGAGACGGGAAGGTGGGACGGGAGGGAGTGACAGGAAGGACTGACGGGAAGGGAGAGACGGGAAGGTGGGACGGGAGGGAGTGACAGGAAGGACTGACGGGAAGGGAGAGACGGGAAGGTGGGACGGGAGGGAGGGACAGGAAGGACTGACGGGAAGGGAGAGACGGGAAGGTGGGACGGGAGGGAGGGACAGGAAGGACTGACGGGAAGGGAGAGACGGGAAGGTGGGACGGGAGGGAGGGACAGGAAGGACTGACGGGAAGGACCGGTGAGAAAAAAAACACTAAAAATTGCATCAATAACAACATTATTGATGATGATAGCAACACTGACAAACACGAACAACACCAACCAGTGAGGAAGCCCCAGCAAAGACAGAGGAAGCCCCAGCAAGAACAACAAGGACAGAGGAAGCCCCAGCAAGAACAACAAGGACAGAGGAAGCCCCAACAGCAAGGACAGAAGAAGCCCCAACAACAAGGACAGAGGAAGCCCCAACAACAAGGACAGAGGAAGCCCCAACAATAACAACAAGGACAGAGGAAGCCCCAACAACAACAACAAGGACAGAGGAAGCCCCAACAACAAGGACAGAGGAAGCCCCAACAAGAACAACAAAGACAGAGGAAGCCCCAACAAGAACAACAAAGACAGAGGAAGCCCCAGCAAGAACAACAAGGACAGAGGAAGCCCCAACAGCAAGGACAGAAGAAGCCCCAACAACAACAAGGACAGAGGAAGCCCCAACAACAACAAGGACAGAGGAAGCCCCAACAACAACAACAAGGACAGAGGAAGCCCCCAACAACAAGGACAGAGGAAGCCCCAACAACAACAACAAGGACAGAGGAAGCCCCCAACAACAAGGACAGAGGAAGCCCCAACAACAAGGACAGAGGAAGCCCCAACAACAACAACAAGGACAGAGGAAGCCCCAACAACAAGGACAGAGGAAGCCCCAACAGCAAGGACAGAGGAAGCCCCAACAACAACAACAAGGACAGAGGAAGCCCCAACAACAACAACAAGGACAGAGGAAGCCCCAACAACAACAACAAGGACAGAGGAAGCCCCAACAACAAGGACAGAGGAAGCCCCAACAACAAGGACAGAGGAAGCCCCAACAACAACAACAAGGACAGAGGAAGCCCCAACAACAACAACAAGGACAGAGGAAGCCCCAACAACAACAACAAGGACAGAGGAAGCCCCAACAACAAGGACAGAGGAAGCCCCAACAACAAGGACAGAGGAAGCCCCAACAACAACAACAAGGACAGAGGAAGCCCCAACAACAACAACAAGGACAGAGGAAGCCCCAACAATAACAACAAGGACAGAGGAAGCCCCAACAACAAGGACAGAGGAAGCCCCAACAGCAAGGACAGAGGAAGCCCCAACAACAACAACAAGGACAGAGGAAGCCCCAACAATAACAACAAGGACAGAGGAAGCCCCAACAACAAGGACAGAGGAAGCCCCAACAACAACAACAAGGACAGAGGAAGCCCCAACAACAACAACAAGGACAGAAGAAGCCCCAACAGCAAGGACAGAGGAAGCCCCAACAACAACAACAAGGACAGAGGAAGCCCCCAACAACAAGGACAGAGGAAGCCCCAACAACAACAACAAGGACAGAGGAAGCCCCAACAACAACAACAAGGACAGAGGAAGCCCCAACAACAAGGACAGAGGAAGCCCCAACAACAAGGACAGAGGAAGCCCCAACAGCAAGGACAGAGGAAGCCCCAACAACAAGGACAGAGGAAGCCCTCAAGAGAGGCCGCCCAGAGACCAACACAATAGTACCATCCCTTTCTTTAATCAACCTTTATATCCTCTTTGTCTGACGCTTTTCCGGGATTGGTGCTGCCAGATTGTACGGGCTGACGCGGTCAAGCTGCGGCTGACGCGGTCAAGCCGCGGCTGACACGGTCAAGCTGCAGCTGACACGGTCAAGCTGAAGCTGGGAATGACAGGCTGTTGCAGTTTTCTAATTGATAGTTAAGTGCTCCTGTTGCTTCAGTAGTTCTTGTTGATGATCCTGTTGATTGTGCAATGCTCCTTGTTGATTCTTCACTGTTGATGTCACTGCCTGAGCGGGCAGGTGACTTCAGCGCCGTATGAAACTTCAGGCATGTGGGGGGGGGGGTGGTACTTTGGCACAGGGGGGAACTTTGGCACAGGGGGGAGGTTAGG